GCTCCTCTGACACCTTAAGAAGTTTTCCCACAAGTGAACTGTCAAGGACTGTTGATGCTACATGTGGACTCCGGAGCGTGCTGCCCTGCAGTAAGCACACTGAGGTCTCTCGTGGAAACTCTGCCGGCATAACCCGGCAGTCCTAGAATGAGTATACAAGCACCAGAGAGGAAGGACAGAAATGTGCTTTTGCAGTAAGAAAAACTTTTTCCCATCACCACCTCCCTGTAGCTAATCCCTCAGTTCTGATCCTTGAGGAAGATCTATAAATGATAAACTTGAGATCTGAAACTGGTTACTTGGCAGAGACAGTGGTCTGACAGCATTTTATGGTTCTTCTAGCCATCCCTCTTCAACCCAGCCCCTCACTGTTCGGTGTTAACTGCCGGCCTTTCCCTGTTTCACAAGGGGGATATGAACCCTATCACCTTCCTCTTACTAATTCCCTTACCCCTTCCAGTTAAGCGTTAACTTCTCTTTTCTTGTAGAGTGTCTATTTGATTGACATAATTAGATTAAGCTCAGAGCATTGGCTCCCAACCTATCCCTTAGTCTGAAGTTTGCTGTTTCCATTTTCAGATTTAAAGAAAGGCCTTTGAGTGCCTTAAAGCTTGCCCGCTTTTTCACATTTATCAGTTGATTTATTAAAAGATGTACTTTCTCCAGCAGATGGCAACATACTTCTAAATTATTTATAGAACATCTGAGAGGTAGGACTTGTTCTGTGCGAGTCAGATAGGAGATAAATTTGCATTTGAGAAAGGGGCTGAGCCCAATATAGGTGCTTATCTTTCCCTGGAACATTTAAGAAAATATTTTTTAAGCTAGTGGCATTGTCATTTCATTTAAACATTATTCTGTAACATTAAAATGTAGTGTAATATTGTCGTAGCTCTTTGCCTCCACATTTAACTAGAGTGGCAGTGAACAGATGAACCAGAACATCTCTGTGCATTCCCATTGGCATTGCTTTTATTTCCAAGGAGCAATAAAGTAGTTCAGAGTCCAGGATAGTGGTAGCTTTATTCTCACGTTGTTTCTCTCCTTTTTTTATTTTCCCAGAGGGAATTTCAGAATCACACCTCTCCACTGCACACCAGAAATACCCATTAGCTGCTATATAATCATAAAGTATTGTTATTGCTGTGGACTCAGAAACTATGGGGCTCCTATCAATCAAGAGCTCTATGTGGGAAAGCAAATACTAGGATCTTTCTTCCTTTGATTTCAGCTGTAGTAATTTTTCTGTGACTACTCGAAGCCTGATTTTCCACTGACTTGTGCATTGTAGCTATTTCTGCCTCTGCAAGGTTGATAGAAAATGGTACAACGAAGCATTTGACATCACTTCCTGCAGGTTGCGGTGACTAGACAAGGAATACCGCAAGGGAAAACCAGACTCAGGCTCTTGTCTTCACCCTCTTGTCTGTCACTTCTTTTAAGTGGTAATTACGCTTGATTTTTCCCAGGGAGGATGCACACTCAGGTGCATGACAAAGTGCAGAGTGACTCAGCACTGGTTGTCTCATGGCTTGTGATTACGATGACGACTGGCAGGAGAGCGGCTGTTATCTCAGACACAGCCAGATCAAGAGGTACTTCTTCAGCGTATCTCTTGACACCATGGGGTCAGGTTTGCTCTGGCACCTGCACTGCAGCTTGGCCCCTCTCCCCATCTAGATCCCCACCCACCAGCCCCATGCATGACGGCATCGTCGCCTGTTCTCATCATCCCCCAGTTTCGTGTTTCCTTACGCATAGCACTATGAAAGGATTCAGAAACATGATCTAAGGACATCCTTTGCAAAGGGAGTGTATTGACATACACAGCCCACCTGTACAAACGTGGGTAAAGCTGAAGGCTAAGTTTGCTCACTATGGTGTTAAGAGTGGCCAGTAAATTTTTCTCTCTCCCTGGGTAAGAAGGGAGCCCTTCTATTTTTTAAACAGATGTCTTCCAACTCCCACAACATTCAAGGCTTTTTCTGAGGCAACCTGAGTAGTTTGGTAGGCTTTGCAAAAGACAATGGTAGTGGCTCCCACTCTGTGGCTTTCCGGCAGACAGGTCTGTGGCCACACATAATTATGAAGTTACAAATGAGATCAGCCAGGGAGGCAAATATGATGTTGTCAGAGGTGCAGTATTGCTCAGGAGCCAGTGAAAGTCAGGCCCACTAGCTGCAAAAAAATCCCAGCATCACAATTTCCCAATACTGTAACACTGCACTTCAGGGGGGAAATTATATGGAACAGTTTGAGCTGATCCACAGCTTCGCCCCCACCACAAGGGAAAAGCCCTAGTTTCCTCCTTGTTGAAAACGGCTTAGTTACTGTTTTTAAATTGGACCATAGGTGGACTTCTCCCTCTACAGCTCCAGTGAGAAAGGTGTCTATAATAACATATAATATATGTTAATAATAATAATATAATAATAATATAATAATAATAGAGACTGGCAGAAAAGGAAGTGTCTTCCTCTAAATAATTGGGCTTTTGTAACTTTGTACAGATGTATAGTTTGTTCAGTGGTGACAATCACACACTGCCTAAATCTATAAATTGATTTCCACCGTAAATCACTGTGTACTCTAATGAAGCAGCTTTTCTGTTTTATTTAAGAAGCTACATATGATAGATCAGCTCAGCTGAGGAATGGCTGAGTGCTAACAGTACCTGCAATCTGTATTTGGTCTGCCTGAAAAGAGTTTGGTCTTCTGCACTTAATTCCCAGTGGATGGGAATTCACATTGAGAGGAATACCATCATAGTGGGTACTAATTATAATTCCAGGGAGGGAGGCCAAGCATAGCCTTGCAGACTGCATATTTCCCACTCAGCCAGAGAGCTGATCTTGGCAGAGGAGCAGCTCAGGGAGGCAGCGTGCCATGGGGCTCTTCTCCTCTACCCACTACCCACGTGTACAGAGCCTGTCCCCGTGGCTGTAGGTTCAGCAGCTCGTAGGAACGGGACAGGCTTTCACTGCAGAAAACAAAACTGTACAAAAGTCTTGCAAAACCAAAATGTCTGACTCCTCACTGCATTGTGAAACTAAACCTTTGTCTCCTGTTAGCTGTCAGGAGCAAGGCAAGACCTGAGAAACAAACCCGTGGGAGCTGCCCTGTTTGTTTGCTTAATCACTTAGTTTAAATATAGATTAAAAATCACTTAAGCTCATCCACAATTTAAGTGTGTGTCAACCAACGGCTGTTAGAAACTGCAAGGAAAAAAAAACACAGTCAGGGAAGGATGAGATTTTAGGAAAAGAATGAGAGAAAAAGGGATTCAATCCTTGGAGTGGTGCAACAGTGTGTCTTCTTAAGGGACATACATTGCTAAGTAAATAACATATAGGAAACAAGAGCTGTCAGCTTCTCTTCATCTCTTCTTCCTCCTGCTGCTGCCAGCTCTTGCTAACAGTGAATAATTTGGTGAATAATCCCTCATTTACATTCATTTCTTTTGATTAAATGAAATGTCATAGTTCACAGAATGTCAGCCTGTGCCTGAAATGCACTGAAAACCCTATATGAGATCCTTGCTCGCTGCGGAGCCTGCCCCGGCCACGGTGCAGCGTGTCCTTGCCCTTCCCCTCCGAGGCACAGCCACACGTCAGAAATGGTGGAGTATCGCCTGGCCCAGCGCTTTCGGCCTCTTCTGGGGCAGTTCAGCTGCCATTCGGCTCTGAACTACCACTGAAGAGCACGGTGCCAGTCTAATGCAAGCCACACTTGAGTTGGCAGCCACTCGCAGTATCAAGACTTACCTGGAACATGTTTCAGCAGCAGCCTAGTTTATAACACCATCCCCATTTTTTGTAACTACAGAAATTTAAGGTTATGCTAGTAAAAACATAAAAGAGGTTGATTAAAGCAAAGTGGTAGAGAAAGCTGCAGAGAAAAAGCCTTCTTGCTGTTCCCAGGAAGCTTGTGGGCTATCTCCAAAGAGTGGGCCTGCTTTGTCCAGCCAACACTCTTAAACCCAAGGGCTTGCAGTGCTTGTGACCTGCTGTCAACCACGGGGAAAAGCATTTTAGACTGTGCCTGACTTCAAGCTGTCTTCTCAAGTTTAGCGTTAATAGAGGTGAAACACCTGGGCAGATTCTCAATGTGGATGCAAATCAACGGCTTCTTGCAGCACGAACCTGCCTAGTGCAGGCAGGTCTCCCGTGCTGAGAGCAGGGTGAAGGGCATCATATAACTAACTTGGTGCCATTCATTGACAGCCTGAGCTTAGCTGGAACAGCTCCACTTTCAAAGCTGATGTTGCAACGCTAGATATTGCAGGCATTAATACTTTCCCTCCAGTTTTTTCATTCACTTGTTGGTGTTACACTGGGGGTGCTGCGATAGGGTGGCCACATCTTTCTCCCAATCTTCTCTTGGTTTAGTCATACTTCTGCTCCCAATCTTCTCTTGCTCCCAATCTTCTCTGCTCCCAATCTTCTCTTGCATACTGCTCCCAATCTTCTCTTGGTTTAGTCGTACTTCTGTAGACAGCGAGCTCCCTGGGGCAGGGACGAGCCATCCTCCCAGCTGCCGAGGGCACGGTGTAGTGTGTGAGCTGCTGGAGGTAAATAGGAAAAAAGGCAGTGGGCCGGGAACCCCTGTGCATGTCCATGGAGCTGGGAGAAAATGCTTTGTGCTTTTTGCCAGCAAGTAGCAACAGCTCGTCTGGGTCAGAGGAACTCGGTAATGGCAATCCCACCCTTAACAAACGCCATGGATTTGTGCCATTTGGTTTCTATTTGTCCCTCAAAATATTGAGTAGCTCTGTTGGGTTTATTCCTGCCGTGCCCAGAAATCACAGATGCTGCAGGTGGGGCTGCTGGTCAGTGGAAGTAAATACATCAGTGTGCTTCTTTTGAAAGAAAGGGGGGGCGACGGGGGACAAGGACGGACGGACAGACAGGGGGACAGATTGACGAACGGATGGACGGACGGGGG